AAGATCATTTCTAATACCTGGCTCCAGGTTCCGAACTTCCACGGACAGCTTGGAGGGAGAGATGTTGTCAGCTGCCACGAGCCAGTCGCTGTTGCGACCCAGGCGCTTGTACTCCACTTTGAAGGCTGTGATGGGGGAGCCCCCGTTGGCCCGGGGGATCCACGTGACGTAGACGGATGATTCCGATGCTGTGGAGATGGTGGGTCGGTCTGGAGCTTCTGGAACTGGAAATTTCAGTTACAAGATGATTAGAGTCAGCTGGAACTCCATTTTCTGTAACTACCAATTAGGTTCATTGCTGGTGATTAAGTTGGACTTCACATATTAACAAGGAGAATCTTAAATCCTCCTGTAATGCTGGATGACCAGCAGACAACAGAGGAATTGATTATCTTCTCAATAAAATATTAAAAAATCATATAGTATTGCACTACCCTGACCACCTTTACATGGAAACGGACACATACATTAAGTGAACAGGAAAAATGTGATTATTATTTTCAAACCCCCCCAAATTCCCTCAGACCCAATGAAAGGTCAACCCATCCACACTAACTGGAGTGCTGGAGAAAGGAGAAGGAAGAACAAATAAAGTATGTGCTAGGATGTACTTACGGAACTCACTGAAGTTACAGGCAGCAGTGGGACAGAGAGAAGGGAAAGAAGGGTGTTAGTAAATCTGGTTGTAAGAACTGTGAGGTTTTACTGAGCCAGCCTGGATTTGTGAACACTGAGGAGGGGAACAGAGCAAGGAACAGCAGGCTGGCAGCTCTGGGGCATGAAGCAGCTGAGCGTTTGCAGGCAGACACAAGTAAGGCCCCTGTGTGGCTCCTCTGACATTCAGTGCTGCCACAAGTGTGCAGTGCTCAGCTCCCTGCCTCCGTCACTCTGCTCACCTTTGGCTTCACCCCAAATTTTTGATACCTTTGAGATCTCAGGCCCTGAGGAAATCTGCCTGAATCAGGCCAAGGGTTCAAAGGTTGGGGTGGGTGAGAAAGAGGACTACAAACATGCTGTTTTCACTGGAAAGCAGAGTAAAAGTCACACCTACTGGGAAGTGCTTGTATCTCCTCGCCATCAGAAATAAGCCCATGCCTGGGAAGCCACAGGAAGACATTCAGGACAGATATCATCCACTCTGAGAACTTAAACCTCTGACACAGCCATTTCCCACTTCCCTTCTTCCTCTGGCTCTTTTACAGTGGAAGGGAAGAGAAAACCAGAGTATTTTGCAAAAAGCAACTGCAGGTTTAAAAATGAGCAGCAGGAAAGTGGGTTGTAAGTGAAAATTCTCTTATTTTTTGAGAGCCACACCTGCAGGTAACATCATCCTTGGAAATACCCTGTGCAACAGAGCAGCCTTGGGACAGACAGGAAACAGAAGAGGCAATACAAGCACCCGAAGCAGTAATAAACACAGGTTGAGTCAAACACAGATCTTTGCAACACAACCTTTAGCACCTGGATCACAAACCATCCCCACTCCTACCTCCGCTGTGGCGAGACAGGTCTGGAAGGACAACACCGAAATTATTTGTGCCTTCATGAACAACGGGTTGTTTGGGGATGCCCATGGGTGGTGATGGAGCCTGAGTGTTTTTCAAGGATGATGTTCTTTCTAGGAAAGATTTGACAGACAATACATCAGCTCAGGGAGTGGATAAGGAAATGCTGCTCACTGACCCCCTCTACCCCCTCTAGAAGTGACCTTCTAGTGACCTCTAGAAGGTCACTTGCTGTGGCACAGCCACGACACCAGGCTGAGTGGGTTTTTGGCTTGTCCAGTGGGTATGGCAGCACAGTACAGAGCAGGGTAGGGGTAGCAGCATTGACTCCTCTGAGTTTTCTGGGGATTGAGCACAGGACAGCAAACAGGAAGCATCGTTGGGGTTTAATACAATGGGGTGTGACAAGTGGGTTTGCTGGTGTGAAGCTTTCTCGGTCCCCCAGTAAGTTGGGAGGGTTAGAAGTGGGAGGAACATGAGCATGGATCCTAGGATGTCTTTTATGGAAAAGTATGGGTGGAATGGGATTTTGCCACCGTTTGATACCACACCCTGGGGGCTGTTGGAGCCTGACTCGTGGAGGAAGGTGGGGTGGAGGAATGTGGGGCCTGTGATTATAAGGGGAGGAAGTGTAGGGCAAAAATTCAGGTAAGTGTGGGGTTTTCTATGGAGAATCCTCCTCAGGCTCATTCTACAAGGGTCTGTCCAAGGTAGGGGATGGCTGAGAACAGGCCAGTGATGACTGTGGCCCCTCAGAAGGGTACCTGGCCTCATGGCAGCACACAGCCTACGAAGGGAGCTGCTAGGAGGGTGAGCAGGTTTCTTTGTATAAGTAGGAGCTGTAGCAGAATCCTCATTCAACGTGCTGATGGATGCAGGTGAAGAAGAATGAGGCTCCATTCGGAGCAGCTTAGGCATCAATCAGCCATAGTGAACATTTCTGTGTGTCTGGGTGAGGGCAGTGGCAGCTGGGGCTGTGTCTGCTGTGACATGTAGGGCGAGTAGGAGGTCAGTCAGGATCTGTGTTATCAGGCAGATGCCTGGGAGGGACCCAAAGTTTCATCAGGGAGAGATGTTTCAGGGCGTGGGTAGGTCACAATTAGGGAGTTGTTGACTTTTTTTTAGCAGGGGGTAACATTTCCAGAGATTGGGGGCTATCGGTTTTGGATCTGTTTGTTGATAGAACAATGATAAGGATGCATAGGGCAAAGGATCCCAAGTAGCTTTCACAGATTTCATGAATACATCACATTCTTAATAAAATTTTAAGCTATTCTGTCCTGCGTAGAACCCCAGAATGGTCTGGGAGGTTGGAAGGGACCTTAAAGTCCATCTCCTTCCATCCCCTGCCATGGGCAGTGACACCTTCCTCTAGCCCAGGTTGCTCCAAGCACCATCCAACCTGGCCTTGGATATTTCCAGGGATGGGACAACCAGAGTTTCTCTGAGCAACCTGTGCCAGGGCCTCACCACCCTCCCTGGGAAGAATTTCTTCCTAATATCCCATCTAACCCTGCCCTCTGTCACTTTAAAGCCATTCTTGGACTATAGTATGAAAAATATCTAATTGTTTGCATGCTAAAGAGCACAGCCACCAGTGTCCAAACTTGAAAGAAAAAGAATGGTCTGATTAGGAGGAATGTTCTTGTGCTTATTGCTGTCTGCACACAACAAGCAGAACAGCTGGCTCGTGGTCAGCAGAGATTGTGACTGAGGTGTCTGCAAAGCAAACCAGGAGCAGCTTTGTTGATACACGAAAACTTGATGATGCAGACTTTCTTTTGTGGTTCTCTGAAAAGCCTCAACAAGGACGGGTTGCTCCTTGATTTCACATCCTTAAGCAAGAGGAACCTCACAGTGGAAATCTTAATAATCACCCCAAAAACCAACATCATCAAGCTTTTAATAGCTTCTACTTACCAACAGCCCTGGTGACGCTCAGGGAGGTTTGCCCTTACAGCTATTTTAGCCGTTGAGGCTAAAGTAAATTGCGGAATATTTCACATGTGGCTCAGCAGACAGCACATGGCTGATGTCACTAAACAAGTGTCCCTGGGAGGTGGGGCAGAGGGCACGTGGGGCTGCACCTACCCTTGCTGGTGCGGAAGGTCAGCATGGCCGGCTGGCCCTCGCCGGCGGCGCTCCGGGCCACCATCAGCACCTCGTAGAGGCTGGAGGGCTCCAGCTCCGTGAGCCGCAGCTCGTTCTCGCTGCCAGGGACACGCACGGTGTGCCAGCTGCCCGCTGCACTCACGCTGTCCTCCAGCTGCACACGACAGGGACACAAACTCAGCGTCAGGAGCCCAAGGGGACCCTCAAATCCCGCACCGCTTCCATGCACAAGCACCCGAGCGACCTCTGCCCCTTGCCAAAACTCCTCCTGTTTTCCTACATCTACCCATGGTTTGTCTCCAGGTGCTTCTACCACAAACCACCACTCTTGCAACCACTTTCACAGCACTCCTGGGATGAACTCGACTTACTTTCCCTCTCCGTGCACACACACACACACACACAGACACAGACACACACACGTGGTTTTGACCTTCTTTGTTTTTCCATTTTCACTCGTGGTTAAAACTACAAGAGCCCAAGTGGTTTCCAAGCCTTTGCTCAGCCTTCAGCTGGCAGCGTGTGCCACTAAAGGGCTGGACCCAACACCCTGATGGGAGAGATGTTCCCTGAACTAGCCCAGCTTTTGCTGTACTTCAGCATTTTTAAGTATTTACTGCCTGAAATGGGCAACAAAGGTTATGCCTTTGTTACTCCTCAAGCCTGGAAAAATGTCAGCAGGGAGATGAAAGATTTCAGTTTATTAATGCATGTTTCCTTTTTTTTAAAAACAAAAACCAAAACACTTTTTAAGTTAGCAGTGAAACCATCAGCTCCACTTAAGAAAGGAAAAGAGATTCAGGGTAGTCTCTTAATGCTTGACCTATCCAGGAAAACATTACCCCAAATCCCAAAGGAAAAGACAAAGATTCCACAAAAAATAAACTACTAAACAACATAAGACTTTAATAAAACATTGGAGGCAGATCTAAACGCTGTGGATTATCAAAGGTTATGCCAGAGGTCTTTGTTCAACTATTTTCTTCTGCAGCAACCACTCCAAGTCTTTTATTCCCCCATCTTTTTTTCCCCCCCTCTATTAAAAGAGGGAAATCAATAAAATAATTTAATGACACAAAGAGAGCACCACCCTAAAAACCAGGGTAAACTCCCTGCTGAGAAACTCATGAGTGAGCACATTTAGTGTGGAAAGGACTGGTGTAAGTGAAGGGTGAGCATCAAAAAGGTCAAAAAAGCATCCAAAGCTTCCAGGGCTTACGTGAACCAACTGCCTTTGGATGAGAAATTATCATCAGCAGACTCTGGCACTAGGTTTTCAGGAACCAACAGGTCAAAAATCTAGGCATTCCCTCCAGGCTAAGACAAGGTCAGGATGTAGGGGATTAAAAAGCTTAGGAAAAATAAATCGAACAGCTTTGCCATGCAGAAAACTGTTTGCTTGGAAGAACAGATTTTGCTTGGAAGAAGTTTGCTTGGAAGAACCAGGCATTGCTTGGTTCTGATTTGAGAATCACAGAACCTCCTGAGTTGGAAGAGGCCCTCCAGGATCACCAAGTCCAGCTTCTGGCTCTGCACAGGACAGCCCCAGGGATCCCACCATGTGATTTTAGGCAAAAGAGTTCAGTGTTGACACACCATTTTTAGGGACATGGTAGGTACCTGCCCAGCAAATTTTAATTCACCTTTGTATTTGGTAACTTTAGTTTAATCGAGTCCCTTTGGGATGCAGAACAGCAAACTCTGTGACATGCTGGGGTAAAACCCAGCTTCCCTTCTGCTCTCACACACAGATTCAAGCTTGCTCACACAAATGCATTTTTAACACCACTGACATTGCACAGAGTACGCCCTGGAGCCCCGTTGCCCATAATGACACTGTAAAAGACATAAAAGCCTGGATAATCACACTGTCAACTACGTTGGAAAAGACCTCTGAGATCATTTAGTCCAACCCATGACTGAACACCACCTTGTCACCCAGCCCATGGCACTGATGCCACATCCAGTCTCACCTTAAACACCTCCAGGGATGGGGACTCCACCCCCTCCCTGGGCAGCCCATTCCAATGGCTGAGCACTCTCTCTGGAAAGAATTTCTTCCTGATGTCCAACCTAAACCTCCCCTGGCACAGCTTAATACTGTGCCCTCTTGCCCTACTGCTGGTTGCATAACTCTCACTTCAAACCAGACAGAACAGCATATTTGTGACATCAGCCATCCCTAAAATGAGCTGTGGGCACGCTGTGCTTCACCTAAATCCTGTGTTCTCTCTGGCCTGAGCCTCATGGCCTGGTCAACACCAGCACAGCTGGTTCCCTGAGGAACCCAACGTGCCGCGATCCACCCGTGCCAGGGGACAGGAGACGGTACCTTGCGGTATTTGACGAAGTAGGCGTTGATGGGCAGCCCCCCGGCCCGGCCTGGCCGCCACACCAGGCTGTAGGTGTCGGGTTTTGGTGTCTGTGGGGGGCTCAGGATGATGGGGGCCTCGGGCGGGGCAGCTTTGTCCATCGCAGCCGCGTCCGGAGGCACTTTGGTCGGAGGGGAGCTCGAAAACGCCGCCTCTGCACCGAAATCACCCCCGCTCTCATCGCCCTGGGCAAGCTCCAGAGGAGCTGTTTCTCCTGCTCTCGTGCCAGTTGCTGGAGGAACTGCAAAGGGAGGGTCTGGTTACATCCCCACGATGACGTACGTTCGCCCCGCGCCCACGGGACGCTAAATCATTTCGGAGTGACATTTCCAAACAAGCCCTGCTGCAAAGCTCCAGGTCCAGAGGTACCCACACAGACCTGAGCCCGGTGCCAAGCTGCGGCCTCAGTGTTTTTCCAGGGCACAGCAGTGGGGTTTGGTTTGTTTTATTTGGTTTAGTGTTTTTTTCACAGTAGCAAAGAGAGAAAACCTGAAACTCGAGGTCTGCAGGCACAGTTTGACTGTATCTCCTCTAAATTCAGTTGTGGCAATGCATGTTAAAAGAAATAAATAAATATATATAGCTACACTTGTGACACAAATGGAGCAATTTTAAATTAATCGCCCTTGTACAAGGAACTTTTCATGGCCTGCACTGGCATGCACACAAGAGGACATTCTCCTACCTCAGTTTCTGAGGTTTTAGCTGTAATTTTGAGAAGCTTTGAAAGCTGCACGACTCAACTACTTCATTTTAAAATTTATGCTGAGAATAAACTCAGTTTACAGGCAGATCTAACATGCAATTTAATACCAACACATTTCTAGAAATCCTTCTCCAGCCTCCTCCATCCTATTTATGTTTCCTGGCATGAAAAGAAAAATATATATAATATTAGCTCGAAAGAGGCAAAAAAAAAAAAAGCCCTGTTCAGCCAATGCAGGGCTCGTCAGCATTCCAGGCAGGAAAGGGATGGCAGGTTGGACATCTGAGATTATCCAGGACAAGAAAACGTCAGTGCTTAAAGCAAGGAGTTTTGGGAAGCAGTGCAGCTCCTCAAGGTTGCACATGGCAGTGCTGGGACTGCCAGATGTTCGGAGCCCTGTCCGTCCTCTCAGATTTGTGTAGGTTTATGTTACGTGCTGGGGTCTGGAAGGGGAAGGGAATGAAGGGAACTTGGTTTACAAAACAAACAAATTCCTTGGTAATGTAAAGCCTAGGCAGTGTTAGCCTGGCTGACTCAGATTCCTCCAAACCTCCATTAAAATACCAGCAGCAAGTGTGGCTGCTATTTTTGGCCACTTTCTAAAAAGCTGGGGAGGAAAGTTCTCTTTTCAAATTGAAGACACGCTCTCGGCAAGCATTCCTTGTTTGTTCCTTCTCATTTATCTAGCAACGCCACAAAATTCGGAGACAGGAAGAAGGGAACAATGCGGGGAGGATGTCCCCGAAGCCAGATGGTCCTAAAATGTCAGACACCCCCAGAACAACCCCCGAGTGAAAGGGGTATCTCCGCTGTCAGCGCAGCAGCGGGAAGGGCCCGATATTGGAAACAAATGGGGGGAGGCGGAAGGCCCACGGCCCCGTGGTGGACCCTGAGGGTGTGTGGGTGGGCACAGCTTGGTTTGACGCCTGCTGGCACTGGGGACACGGACTCTTGGAGTGGAGAATGAGTTGTGGTTTCAGCTGGTGACAGCAGACCCGCAGCCAGCGCTGTGTTTATTGCTGCGGGGGGGGAGTCGTCAACAACCGCCGAGCTGTTCGTATTTTTGCTTCAGAAAACAACCCCTGGGTAACAATTCCCATTAAGCAATTCAGATCTAAGCTCTATTTGAGAAGTTTCTGGCATAATTGCTACCCACATAACCCAGCACATCAGCTTTCTCTCTGCTGCTGTGTCATTATGCAACTTTTTTTGGCTGTTGCTCTCAGTGCCATCCCTTTCCCTTCAGCCACGGAGACTTTTCTGCCTCAGCTTCCCAGCCCCACTGTGGAACACCACACCAGCAGCCCTGAGCTGGGTCAGACCAAAGGCTGCATGTCCCCAAAACCCTGCCTCCAACAGCAATCAGAGAAGGATTGAATGTCCCGAATTTGGGCATTAAAGGAATGTACTCATAAAATCTTAGAATGGTTTGGGTTGGAAGGGACCTTACAGCTCATTTTGTTCTACCCCCTGCCATGGGCAGGGACACCTCCCACTAGCCCAGGTTGCTCCAAGACCTGTCCAACCTGGTCTTGGCCACTTCCAGAGATGGAGCAGCCACAGTTTCTCTGGGCAACCTGTGCCAGGGCCTCCCCACCCTCACAGCCAGGAATTCCTTCCCAATATCCCATCTATCCCTGCTCTCTGGCAGTGGGAAGCCATTCCCCCTTGTCCTGTCCCTCTAGGCCCTTGTCTCAAGTCCCTCTCCAGCTCTCTTGGAGCCCCTTTAGGCACTGGAAGGGGCTCTCAGGTGTCCCCAAAGCCTCCTCTTCTCCAGGTGAACACCCCCAGCTCTCCCAGCCTGTCTCCAGAGCTGTGATTCACACTCTCCATAATACCCAGTACTTTGTAGCTTGTTGCTGTTTCTCCCCTTCAACTGCCTCATTTTGAGGGCAAAGAGCCCTCACCTTTCCAGCCTCCTCACAGGGGTGCACCCAGGGGCAGATCCCAGCTCGTGCCGTGGCTGCACAGCAGCTCTGGGGTTTGTCTCTGCTGTGCAAACAGATCACATTCCCAGGCACTGCTTCCCTGCCTCTTAAACAGCCACAGGATCTGCCCCACTCTGCAGGTACCTCAGCACGGGCTGGGAAAGCCCCCTGAAAACCTGAATGCAGCACATCAGTGAGGTCACCCACACCTGGCAAGAGTTTCAAATCGCCTTAGGACTTCTCAGAGGTTCTATGAGGCTTCTGTGGGAGCAACTTCAGCCTCTCGCCCCTGAATCACCCACCTGCCTACACCAAATGCTCCTTCTTGTGTTTTACACTCACTCTCCTGCTACTCAAACCGCCCGGAGTGTGTTTTTCTCCTTCATTTCCATTAGATGAAGTTATGTTGGAGAATTAACCTTGTGTTCTTTCCCTGGCTCTGGGAAGCTACTGCCATGCAGGCAAACCCCACAACTGTCTAAAAAAGACACAAAAGGAGGGAGGGCCGTGGGTACAGGATCCCGAGGCATCGTTTTACATTTTGGTGGTTTCTCACTCTGGTGGCAGCTGAAGTTGTCCTGCCCACGGTAAGACCGTGCAATGAATCACGGCCTGGAACAGATCCAGCACAAGGAAAAAAAAAAAAGAAAGATACATTTTTCAGCCAAATGAGCTCTCTTACTGTGTGCTGGGACAAGGCTGAGAGGAGCTTAAGCTGATCCTGCTACCGAAGAAATGCGCTGGAATCCCAGCTGAAGTCATTCAGGTGCTTCGGAAGTGTTACCTGGCACGAATTCTTCATCAGACAGCTGAATGTCTGAGCATGCCTTCGGCATGGCTGGGAGCTGCTCTAAAGCCCTAACAGCTCCCAGAAACTCCTCGGGGACTTTTATATCAAAACCAAATGCCTTAACCACCCTCTGCACCATAATCAGCAGCCAGTACAACATATTAGAAACCGATAAAAGTTAATAAACAAAGCATTAAAATTGAACTTACTGCCATAAAATTCCAAGGCAAAGCAGAGGGATTTTTCTCTTTGACACAGACTGAATTCTGGGATGATATTTAGTTTCGTGTTTCCACTCAGCAAGGTCCAACAATAACTGATTTATAAAACTACATGATGGGATCACTTTCTTGAGGTTTCTTCTTTCTTTTTTTCTCTAAGTGAACCTTTATGCAGCTTTTCAAGTTATTTACGGGAGTTTTAAACTCTAACCAAAGAACTTTAAATATGGGGCCACTTATTAAATCCCACTGACCCGAAATCTCCCTGGCATTCAGCTGAATTAACTAAGGCAAGGTGCTGAAAGAGCTAAGAAATTTAAGTCACTTCATGTAACTAAAAATCTGTATCTAAGTTCTTGTGAAGGAAACCTGGGGGGGGCTTAAACCTTCTACTAATGTCACATAATATTCCACTGTGAGGAAAGGAAATGGCTCTTTTCCATCCTGCCTTTAGTATAAGAGCTGTCTTTTCTAGTAGTAATTTCAAACCATAAATTAAAAACCCCACCCTTGGATACGTTTTAGCACATGTAAGATGTCCATGCGATGCACACAGCACTTCTCCTTTGCTTAAAAGGGGGAGGGAGGAACTGGTCCATGGAGACAACGGAGACTCCTCTGCTTCGTTTCCCCCAGATCCCACCCCACCCTCTTATTTTGAGGCATTTCTCACCTAAACCAGGGAGCCAATGGGATGGTTTTGGGCTTCACTTACCGACCGTGAGGAAGGCTCTGGACACGGCAGAGCCGTGCTCGTTGACGGCTTCGCACCTGAGCTCTCCGGCGCGCTCCGGGGTCACGTTCCGCAGGCGCAGGGAGCTCCAGCCCACCTGGGACACGGAGGGGCAGGAGGGCTCCGGCCCTTCTGGGGGAGGCCTCTGCACCTTGGGATGCAGCACCTGGGCAGGGTGGCTGGTCAGCAGGCCCCTGCTGTCGTACCAGTGGACGGTGGGCGCGGGCAGCCCGGTGGCGTTGCAGGACAGCGTCACATCCCCACCAGCCACCACGGTGACACTCCCGGGGGAAGAGACTATGACAGGGACAGAGCCTGTGCCTGGGGGAAATGCAAACGATGAGTTTGACTAAGGAATATGACACTTAATGCCCAAGTCAGTCAGTACAATTAAAAATGTCACACGTGGTTCTTTATAACCATTTTAACAGTTTTTTCTTCTCCAGGCTTCCCTTCCAGACTGGAGAGATCAGCTGAGACTGCTTAGAGGAGGCTGAGAGAAACTCAAACCACACTTCAGCTTCTCTAAATGATGAAGACTTGACTGTCAGTGAAGAAAACACTGCAGGCAAGACTGGCTTAGGCACTCCACACACAAGCAGGCCACAAAATCTCTGCTCAGCCAGGCTCTGCACAGCTCACAGGGATCATTACTGGTACTGAGAAGATTCAAAGCTTCAGCTACACATGACAGGGAGAGAACAGGGACAGCAGTGGTCTTGCCAACATCGTTGTGCTAGCAAAAATCAAGTTCTCTGGGCATTAGAAAGTATCTTAGACTGAAAAGTGATCTAGATGACTCCTGGTGCCTGATCCTGCCAATCTGATAAAGGGGAAGTGTGCATCAACCCCCAGCCTGAGGATTGTTTTGCAAATTAGAGTATGGAACAGGCATAACTACTCATCAGCCAATACTGCTAAGAGTACCAGCTCATCCAGCACAACAGGACCCAGACTCTATTTGAGCACAAATCATGTCAAATCCAATCATAAGCTGATTTAATTGCAACTGGTAATCTAGGTTTAAGTATCAAGTAACCACACAACCCCAAAAGTCTCTTAAAATCCAACTGAAAGCACCTTCTTTGCAAGATTAGTGGTCAGAAGCAAATTAATACATAATCCAGAGGGAAAAAAAAACAAACCAGAATAAAGCCTGAAGCACAAATGCTTCATGTGATTCCTTGAGGGCTGCGAGTGCTCCTACCTGGCTGGACACGGAGCCTCCCCGTGGAGTGCACAACCCCAATTCCATTGTCTGCCACACACTGGTACAAGCCAGAGTCCCCCGGGGTGACCCCGCAGATCCAGAGGTGGTTTCCCGTCGGGAAGTGCCGCGGGGAGGGCCGGAGGGGAGCGGCGTTGTGGAGCCAGGTGAGGGCTGGAGCGGGGCTGCCACGGGCATCACACCAGAAATGCACAGTCGCCCCGGCGGCCACGGTTTCATCCTGGAGCCCCTTGGAGAGCGAGGCAGGTTCTGGAAGGGAAAGTGATTTTACATAAACCACCGTCTGCTGATCTTCGACTAAGCCCTGAAAAAACTGCTGTGAAATGTCCCACAGGCTCGTCACGTCACCACACACTGCTGGTTCTGCACAGCCCAAGGTTGGTTTTCCCACACATGGGTTTATTTGAATGGTTTCTCCCTTCTGTCCCAAACAGCCACATGTTTGCATGAATTCCGTAAATAAAACACCTTTATTTTCAAAATAATTTGCTAGCGGCAACCCCAAAACAAAAGGCATGTTGTGTGTCAACACCCTGTTTTCTGAGTAACTTCAATATACACATTTCCAAACCCAAACAAAACCAGTCAAGGATGCAGAAACCTCAAACACCAGGAATATCTGCTACAATGGAAAAGGAAAATGAGGAAGAAATTGCAGCCACACAAAAGAGGCCAAATATATGAATATGTTTCTTCTGCTTTTGTTTATGTCCTCATCCAAATACCTCACCTCCCCTCACCAGCCTCTTGCTCATGTACAGCCTCAGGAGAGGCACATCTGATCCCTGGCATACCACTGACACTGGCATTCCACAGGAAAATAAATGGATCAGTTCCTCCCTCGGAGTTTGTTATCCTTCACTGTTTCATTACTTCAGACTGCACAGGATTTGAAGAGATAAATAATTATGGATTTTAACTTGGAAGAGATGACGGGACATGGTCATTATGAACAGATCTGTGTTCTTTATTTTAATATGCTTGAGACTGAGAAGGAATGTGATGCTGTTTGGGAGCAGATGCCAAAACCAGCACGTACATGAAGGAAATGTTCATTGCCCGGACATCCAAAACGTCTTTTTTCCTTACCAAGTACAGTAAGTGAATAGTTAACGTATTTCACTGCTCCGGAGTCAGCTCCCACCAGGCAGGAGTAGTTCCCAGCATCTGATGCCTCCAGCCTGTCCGTCACCAGGTGGGAGTGCAGCAGTTCCCACCGGCCTCGCCCCAGCGCGGCCCGGCCGTCCTTGACCCAGCGGACGGAGGGAGTCGCCCCACTGACCACACACTCCAGTGTCAGGGCACTGTGCTGGGGCACTGCCAGAGTCTGGGGGGCCAGAGGGTGAAGGATGTGGGAGCCACCTGAGGAAGGGCCTGGAAGAAAGGAGATGAGTTGTAGAATAGAATCATGGAGTGGTTTGGGCTGGAAGGGGCCTTAAAGCTCATCCCGCTCCAAGCCCTGGTCACAGGCAGGGACACCTTCCACCAGCCCAGGTTGCTCCAAGCCCCCTCCAACCTGGCCTTGGACACTTCCAGGGATGGGGCAGCCACAGTTTCTCTGGGCAACCTGTGCCAGGGCCTCAGCACCCTCACTAGGAAGAATTTCTTTCTGATATCTAATCTCAACCTACTCTCTGTCAGTGGGAAGCCATTCCCCCTTGTCCTGTCACTCCATGCTCCTGTAAAAAGTCCCTCTCCAGCTCTCTTGTGGGCTTCCTTCAGGTACTAGAAGGCCACAATTACATTACCCCTAAGCCTTCTCTTTTCCAGGCTGAACAATCCCATTTCTCCCAGCCTTTCCTCACAGCAGAGGTGCCCCAGCCCTCTAATCTTGACACCAATCAAGCTTTTACACCTCCCATCCTGTTCCCCAGTCCTCCTCCATGCCTTTCAAACATGTGTCTGCACTTGGGACTAAGCACAATGCTGTGATGCTCTCTTCAAGAAGTCCTGCTCCAAAACAGGTTTGGGGACAGAAGTATACACAATATCCCCTTTCCAAGGGCTGAGTGCTGTGTCTTCCTGGGATTTGAGAAGCAGTTATGCTGCTCCTCCACAGAGAGGGGAAATAAGAACTGAATGTGCAAAGAATGCAGGACAGATTTTACATCACACAGTACTGGAGACACTGATATGCCCATGCCAAAAACCCCTAGGGATGTTATTTATTGAGTTTGAGGTGTGTGAATTCTGGGAAGCTGAACAGGATACTCACGTGTGACTGTGAGCTTACGTCCAGTGAGTTCTACTCTGAGATCATGAGTGACTGGGTTGTACACTGCACATTTGTAGGATCCTTTGTCTTCTAAAGATACATTCAAAATCTGCAGGTTTCCAGATGGAAGAATTAGGTAGTTGTCTAAAGAAGTGGGGAAGGAAAAACAGAAGATTATATTTAATGTAGTTTCAAGAAAAGGCTTCCTCTTTTTAGTTTTTAATTAACTTTTCAGCTATACTAATCTACCCTAAACATAGGATGACAAAGAGATCACCATTCCAAGAAGATTCATTTCCAAAGACAGCTTTAGATAAAGTCATGCACAGGAAGTTCTGCAAGTTTCACAAGGACTTTTTCCTGTAGGTTCTAAGAAAAAACTCTGGGCAAGCTTTTGTTGGTTACTTACATTGCACAAAAAACCAAAATCTCACCTCTTGATTGTTCCAGCCATTTCCCCCGCACTTGGAAGCGAACCTGTGCTTTAGGGTGACTTTCTGGCACCTTGCATTCAATGAGAGCTGAGCCTCCTTCCTCTGCTGCAATGGCAGCTGTCACCGAGGCATCAAAGTCACCTAAACCTGGAGAGATTTGGGAAAAGTCTAAGAGCAGCCATGGCCTGGGAGAGAGGAAGGGCAGCAAGTTCAGTATTTGTGTTCAAAACACAGCTGGCTTCATCCTGATTGTCTTTGGTGCAGCATTTGGACATTCACATCAACAGGCATGGTCTATCCTGCAGCCCATAGCAGCACAAACCCTCCTTACCCACCTCCTCACTACAAAAAGCACCAGCTTTTACATGGGAATAGTGAGAAAAAACAATTCCTATGTTCCCTCAACTGCTCCTGGAAAAGCAAGCAGAGACAGTGGAAAGGGTTCCCTCAGGGGGTCTGCAGGCACTACAGGAGACAATTCACACTGTCCCTAAAAACATAGAATTGTCTCTCTGTGATGATAATGAACACAGTAGTGAGTGCAGCAGTGCCTCCCTCTTGCTGCCACTAGCCTTGAGGCAAGGAGAGAGCTCCCAGCACCTTCCCTAGGAGAGAGCCCCCAGCTCCCAGCACCTTCACTAAGAGAGAGCCCCCAGCTCCCAGCACCTCCCCACATGCTGCCAAAACCTCCAAGGCAGGAGGGAAGTGTGGAAGCTGCTCTTCTACTCCCTTCATGTTCAAAGCATCTTCGAGGTTGTGAAGTTTTTCTATGTTAGCCACCCTTAGAGCTCTCTTGAGAGGGTCTGGCCATGGGTCAGTACTTTACCAAAACACTTACTTCTCTCACTTATAAGAGATTTTCCTCCCAGGGGGATTTTGGACATGCTCCATAGATGAGGTACCCTTCCAGAGAAATCACTCAAACCCTGCTTGACAAAGGCCTGATTCAGACAGCCCCGAGATCCCAAGCAGACAAATCATGCTCATGCAGGAATATTGTATTCCCATTCTCAGCATCATATCGTCCTTTCCATGTGGAAAACATTGCCCCTTCCTCTTCTGAAGTCCCTCGAGATCAAATAATTTACAGATCAAGCACCAAGGCAAAGGCTGATCAGAAGAACCGGTGAAACTGAGAGAAGGGAAACTGTCCCCAAATGGACAGAAGACTGTCCCCACCTGCAGAACATCTACGTTGGTTTGATCAAATCAAATGAAAAGGAAAATCTGCCTCTCCCACTTATTTCCTAGGCAACAATTCTCACTCATTTCTCCTCAACTCTCAAGCACACTTCTGCAACAGTGTGGCAGATCAGCTGCCCTTTCAACATCATCTGTGAAGGGAAGTGTTTGGGAATCTTGTACTTTCAGGCCAATTCATGGAAATGAATGTTATTTTGCTGAATAATATTTGTGCTTGCTGAAAAAGATTTTTGAGGTCCTTCATGTCGAAATGAGGCAAAATCCATCAGGTGTGGTTTGGTATGGCCGAGGCTTTAAAAGCCTCCAAGGGTGGGGATCCTCAAGCTCTCTGGGGAATCTGTTCCAGGGGCTGCATCACCTGACAGGTCCCAGATGATATAATTAAAAAAAAAAAAGGCCGGGTGTTTTCCTAAAAGTCAAAGAAGAACAAACCACACGAGCCAGCCGAGGTCTGCAGGGTTTGCAAGGAGCAAAGGGCAGGAATGAGAAGGCACTTACTGCCCATGGACACCGAGGCAGGCCGGCTCAGCACGGCGCCCACACCGCTGCTCGCCACACACTGATAGCGGCCGCACGTCGCCGGGCTGAGGGACACGATTGTCAGAGATCCCGCCTGGATTTCCACTTCTCCTGCCCTGCTGTCCAGAGGCTCCCCATCAAACAGCCAAGACAGGTGAGCTGTGGAGGGCTCGGCAGAGCAGCGGAGCTGGACGGGCTCGCCGGACTTCTGGACGGCAGAGGAGGGCTCAGAAATGAAACGCGGAGTTAAATCTGAAAGGAAATGTAAATATCGGGTTAGAGACCAGCATTTTGCACGGGGACAGGTGATGAGGTAAACTGGTATGAAAGACTGAGCATATAGAGGGTCTCTAAGCCCCAAGCTGCAAATGATACTCAAGCAGGTGTTGCCTTTTCCTCGGTAAGAGGAGCTCAGGAGAGATTCCTGCTCACTCTCAAACACCGGGAAAACTCCAAGATTTGAACCCCACAAAGGGGGTGACAGTAATTAAACAGAGTTAGGTGCAGCGTAGGGGATGACACATTCCCAAGGCAAAGGCAATGTGCCTGCCAGGGCCAGCAAAAACTGCAATCCCACTGGATTTATCCAGAGGGAAAGAGCAGCCGTCACCTGAAGAGCCGGAGCACGGGAACACGCAGCTGCAGCTGATCTGTCCCATATGAAGCGGGCCCGGACGTGACTTGTAAAATGTTAGAAATGGCAGGAGCCTGCCAGGTATTTATACAGAACCGTCTCTGAGTCTGCAGAACTAATTAAAAATAGCAGGATAAAAAAAGCTGGACGAACAGCAAAGGCTCTGGCTAATTCCAAATACATGGACTTCATCAGGACAAGGATGATGAATTGGGCATCCATTATCTTTACTGAGCAAAGATGAACAGAAACAGGAAGAGCTGCTAATAAATAAAAGGTTCAATTCCACAGAACTTGGTTATGAGAATCCATTTATTTGCCAGAAGAAAATTCCTGCTTGTTGGAGGAGATTTTTTTTCCTATCCTGGCCAGTGAAACACTGGGAATTATTTCCATTTGTTTTCTATGAAATTCTCCACTAAAGATTTTTGCATGAAGGGAGCAAGCAAAAGGCAATTGGCACCACTAACACTTATTTGGTTAGTAATACAAATTAGGAGAAAAAACAAAATTAAAAATAGACACATCAGCTGGGAAAAAACAATTCCTAGTTTGTAAAGGAGCTAAGGAATTCCAGATAGTATGGGTCAAGATAATATTAAATGACATCCAAGTCAGAGACAGTTTTCTTGTAGGTGGGGCCCTGGGCTCATGCTTTTCTTCTCAAGTCAGTCCATCCCAGCTCTGGTTATGAGTTTCAGATGAGAAACTGCACATTTTTAACAGAACCATAAACTATCTGCATAAACATAAAATAAAACTGGAAATTAAAGTGTGGCTTCACTTAACAAAAAAAGATGAAATCCATAAAAATGGTATCCAAGCATTTCACAGGACTCCAGATGTCCGTTTTTAGCTTTTAATTAGAAAACTGTTTTTCCTATTAGTTCAGTCTGAATTTCCAGGGATAAGAGGGAAGCACTGACCTTTCAGTTTGCTCGCTCCAATTGTATGAAATCACACTGCTACTTTCATCTTCGCCCCTGCCCTCACTTCTGACACCAACACTTTGTGCTCCGCGTAAAAGGCAAAATTGGTAGCAGTGACCCTGCAGCTGGAATTTATCTGCTATGGCTGCTTGAAAAATAAAATTTATCCCATTTGCTTATAACGACTGGCTATGAAGTGCTAAAAGTAGTAAAAGCTTCTTTTTCGTGTGGTTACGTTAAGACAAGCTGACTACACAGAGCAGATGTGTCAATTAAAACCATCCCTCTTCTTCTCTTTAACGCCAGAGCTGTTCCAACTGCAGCCACGCATCAGCCTCCACGTTTCAAAGAGCTGATTCCCCTCTCCTGCTGCAAATCCAAACCCCTCCCGACCCCTGGGAACACAGGATGCACTGCACGCAGCAGAACCGGCGTCCAGCTAAATCCGCGGAGACCCCAAGGAACAAACCCACGTAACCCAGCGTCCTCCACGTTCTGGCGCTCGCTCTGAGCCAAGTTTTCACGAGCAAAGCCATCTATTCGGCGTGAGGCCACGGTTCAGTGCTCCACACTCCCTTAAAAGCAGATTATTGACAATGTCCACAGAAGGCGGCCACTCGGAAACGCGCTCCCAAGCGCCGCCTGTTCAGAAGTTTGGGCTCGACCCCGAAACCTCCCAGCCAGTCCCCCTGGATGGGGTGAGGCCTCACCTGGGCTGGTGGCAGCGACGAGGCCGGCGATGAGCAGCAGTGCCTGGAAGCGCCCGGGGGCTGGATGCATAGCGCCAGATTATCCAAGTTGAAAGCCCAAGGCTCCGGACTAAGACGAGGCACGGAAACAGCTACAAAACAAACAAACAGATGTCTGCTGTGAGTTTCAGGAGTCCCCCTCTTTTAACTCTCTCACAACAAAGTGTTTTATAAAAAAAAAAAAAAAAAAAAAAAAAAAAAAAAAGGCACAACCAGGAAACAGCCAATATTCTTTGCAATATAGGAACCATCTGTAAAAGTGAGTTAGAGCTGAACTTCACTGTGGTTCCAAGTCCTATTCTTAATGTAAGAGTTCTTCCACAGCTGGGGCATGAGGCATCCCCATCGAACCGCTGCCCTGATGAATTAAGACTCCTTTCCACCCAGAGGAGCTGGAGTCCAAAGTAAACAGCTTATCTGTTGGAGATAATATTGTTTGTAAACAATAATCATTTGACCATCTATCACCAGGCCGCGCTTGTTTTACAAGTTTTTATGAATCTACTGCTGTGATGCTGCTGCCACTCACAATTGCTCTAAATCTGCTTCCCAAGACCTGTCATCTGCTGGCTCCTTCTGCTGGGCTTTACAGGCAAACTGTGCCACTGAAGAAAACACCAATATCAGTCTTGTTCTTGTTTATATTCCCAAACCAGTGATGCTCCCTCCTATATACAACTTTCACCATCAAAAAATATAAACTGCGTCACTAAGCCAGCAAAATACAAATAAATCACAAATATGATCCCAGCGGTCTTTTCCAGCCTAAGTGATTCTGTGATAAATGGTTAAATGAGCAAAATACAAACTAAATCACGGAATCAGCAACCAAACTTGCCCCGAGGTGAGTCTCAGGAATGGTGTTTGTGACACTCCCAGTCTCTATCAAACGCTCATTTCCCCAAGAAAACCATAAATCTGCAGCTGTCGTTCACTTAAATGTCCTATTGGCCTTGCATAACATTATGATAAATAAGATCTGAGCTCGTTTAGCACAGTTACTTCATTTATCAGCCTGGCCATACAATTCAGCCACTGATAACACTCAACATATACTCTAAACATCTCATCTATCAGCCGTGTACATAAACACGTATCCAACACACACAATAACTGGGAGCTTTCCTGAAGCACAGAAACAAGTGCAGCAACACACATGCCTGAGAGGAATAAGTCCCAGTTTATTGAGTGTTCGTGGAGCCATTTGCTTTCGAAGCAGCTGGATGCAGATATAAACAGCAAAATGATTCCTGTGGTTCATTTTAAAATAACAGTATTTTGTCATCGGAGCATCACTGTAAAACACACATGCAAATTGAGCATCAGGAAAAGCCTCCAGTTGTAATAGAATCACTCTGGATTTTATGGGGCTATTTGCTCTCTGCCACCTCTGCCTGCAAACTGCACTCTGGGTCCCACTGACAGCTTGAGAGGGCGGGAAGAAACGCTGCCGAGTTCTGCTCCCGTTTCTGGGCAGTTTTATCTGATCCGGCAAATCTATTTCAGCTGTCGGGAAGACCCGGCAATCCTGCGGCCCAGGCTGGTTCCCAAGGCGAGCAGGGGCTGTTTTGGGAAGCCGCAGATGGCAGAGGAGCCCAGCTGTGCCGAAGGGGTTGGTTTATTTGAGTTCTCCCTCGGTTCAAGGGCAGGAGCGCCGCTCCGCCAGCGCGCGCGGAGGACAAAGTAAACACCCAGAGAACTTGTTAACATCAAACACTTTGCTGAAGAGGGCTGGGGGCAATGTTGCTTTTTGCCAAATCTTCCCTCCACTATTTATTTATCAAAAGCAATGAAACGTATATTCTGGGTCAACTTTAACCCCAGCACATGGAGCTACTGGGTTATTTTGCAGCTGTCTTTTTAAACAAGGCCAGCTCATTATCTTTAACTAAACTTTATCTTTGGAGATCTACTTTATCCAGGCTCTGATTTCCCTCTGTTTATCTTTCTCCTTACATGTTCCTTACTGCCAGTGTCAACAGCTACTCCTCTTTTGACCTACCAGTTTGGCTTTCGCAGGCTCGCGGAGTGGTAAGATCAACTGCAAAGCAGTGAGTACACACAGCGAGCCACAAAGACCAAAGTTCTTTGACTGGAGGGAAGAAAAAAAAAAAGAAAAAGGGAAAAATATTGGCTTTAAGTGGGCTAGGATTGTTCAGCATCAACACTGGGGCATCTGAATGAAGTTTCTCCAACATCTGTTTCTGAAGGGATGGCAGAAACATCTTCCTCGCTGGTAAATATGGGAACACTGTGGGGAGATGAGACCCAGCAATGCAGCCCAACCCAGAAATACTTCTTTCTTTTTCTTCTGCAGATGGTGACACTCCAGAAGCCCCTTGCTAAGCACAGAGAAGAGGGCGAGACCACAGCTCGTAGTTTTAGGGTCTTTAGAAATCCTGTGGAGAAACTTTGCCTCTTTCATATTACATTAAAAAGCCTCAGGGACAGAAAAACATGACTCTTCCCCTTTGCCATCACTTCAATAAACCTGAGCTCCCATTTTGACAGCAAGTACCAGCCACTGGGGTCCCACTAGGATCAGAAAAAGGAGCACCTTGGTTAGATGTGGCTCCATTTAAGTGTCCCAGACTCCAAGATGAGCTCAACCCAGAACAACTCTCTCCACTGTTCATTGTTCCTTACTTGAGAGGATGAATCTCCATCACTTGTGGATTGGAGTCAGTTATATTGAAGCAAGAGGTATCACTGTCTGAGCCTTTTAAACTAAAACAGTAATAAGAGGATATGAATAATATTCAAGGTTGAATAGAGATGGACATGGGTTTAGTGGATCAAGGAGAATGTACTTTTCACTTGCACTGGCCACTCCTCCAGCCCATCAGAAAGGCACAGCACGGCAAAGGCCGCACTTCTCCTACTTCCACCCAGATATCTCCACCTAAAGTCATCCTCCAGTTATCTTCAACCAGCACTTGACCTCCTTGTCAGCTCTAAAGTAGCTTGTTGCTCATGGATCACGGGAAACAAGGAAGATAACAGACTTGTGTCAGGGGGAGGGGCCATCCCGACCATTCCTTTGGCTGCCTGCCCCTGGGAAGCACACTGCACACGCAGGGGCACCCAGAAACCTGGGGCTGGTACTTCTGGAGGTAATTAGCAAGATGAAGCACTTCCGCAGATGACATAATTCTGGCTGTGCACCTCATTTGTCACAGACCCTTTACAAAAGGGACCCCTCAGCCCAGAGCCGTGGGGACAGGCTGTCTGGCAGGTCCCAGTTTCAGCCCCATGACCTTCAGAATGCCGGACACAGGGAGGAAAATAAACCATCAGCACTGGGTCCAAACAGAGGGGAAGGGACAGTTCAACTTTCCATTTAGGAGCACCGGTGGTTTCCCAGCACGGGAGCACGGCTGTCCCCACTGCCAGAAGGGCACACCAGCCCTGGCACGCTCAGGATGCTGCAGGGCACATCATCACCTGGCTTTCAAGGCCTGAGGACCTCACCAGGATGGATACGGGCCATCCCGGACCAGGGACCAGCCCATGGGCTTACTGAAGTGTTCTACTCAGCCAAGATGGCAAGACACAGGCACCACACCATCCAGGGTCTCAGCAGCCCTGGCAGTGACCCTCTCCTCTCTTCCCAAAGCTTCACGTTTGTCCCTGTTTCTCCAGAAACCAGTGGTCTTCAATGTAGGGCTCCACAGACCTGGTCCTGTCACTGTAACTTAACCCTCACCTCCATATTAACTCACTCCTACCCCTGCTTGCCCCAAAAAAAGGGTTTCACTCTCTAAAAGATGACAAAATGCTGTTTTCCATGCATTCCCATGGTGCTAAGCTCCAGAGGACCCTGTGTCCTTCCAAACACAGCCGAGATCCTGCCCTGCTGATTTATTGGACCCTGAACTTCTCCTCTCCACCCTTGCAGTTGAGGGCAGAGTCACTTCAAAAAGAACATTATCTCATCCCCATTTTGGTTGAGCTCCCTGAATCATCTTCCTGCCATCTCAGACCAGCTGGTACGACAACACCGGGACCTCCCTTCCCAACAGCCACCATTCCACCTCAGTCTGTTACTGCACTCCCACTCCATCAGTCCCCTCCAACACACTTCCAACCTTCAGCGAGCCACTACAGCACGCTGGAGCTAAATGAGGAAGGGTTTCTGCACTACCTCAACACACCAGGTCCCATAAACGCTGGAGTAAAGCAGAAAGAGGAGGAGGAGGAGGAAGGAAACAGGCACCTCGGGAACAGAGGGAGTTATTCAAGTTGCCCACTCCACCTCCAGGAGCTGACGGGCCTTTGCTGAGCAGCCCAAGGAAAAAGTGACTGAGTGCTGCTGCCTCAAGGGCAGCTGCATCGTGACAGCCATCTGGGAGTAAAGGATTTGGATACCAAAGATTTCCCATTTTTCCTAAACAGCAGTAACTCAAAATTGATTAATCCCACTCACTTTATCATATTATATGTTATTCAACACCCAAAGCACAGCAAGTTGGTTTTTTTTCCCTAGGTCACTCATTAGTTACCAAGAAAAATGCCTTTTTAACTTGCCACCAGTACAAGAAAAGTCACAGGTTTTCAAACCACCTAAATTTAGAGCAAACAAATTCCCCCAAAATTAACTAAAACACTCTGGCTTTAGCAGGAGCAAGCCCGAGTTAGATCATTAAATCTCACACCAAGACACCTTAAAAAAAAAAAAGAAAAAAAAAAAAAGGAAAAAAAGGAGGTATTGAAGCCTGTGGCATTCCAAGAGAAAGCAATCAGACATTCCTGCCGCTCGGCTCCTCAGTGATCTCCAGAGCCTTTGATCACTGACTGTCTTCATGCCGTCCTCCTGGGGTCTGGCAAAATGAGTGTAACAGCTGGCACATAGACTTCATTAGCTTTCTGGGCTGGGAGGAGCGGGTTACAGCCCGGGAGCAACCGGCAGCCCGCCCGGCGGCCTCACGGAACAACCTCCCAGGTTTATTCCCGGAGTCTTCCAGTGGCCGGGAGAACCTCGAGGTATTCCCGAGCTGTTTGACAGCGGCGGGCTCGCCACACGCCGCAGACCTGCCCCGTGTGGCTCCGCTGCCGTCGAGGATGGGGCGGGGGGATGTTTGATGCCA